TTTTTTTTTGATAGTTCTCAGCCTTTTGTTTTTTGCTACGACCTCCCTAGGGCCTAGACAATAAAAACCTTACGGAATTTAGAAAGAAAATAAAAATCTCCGGTACATCTTTCTCAGCCTGTTGACAAAGACCGAAGTGTTGTACTGTCGGCTCTGAATCTTCTGATCAGTTTAACACCTGCTGCGTGTTCATGAAAAAAAAAAGCAAAAAAAAAAAGCAACGTAAACAAAACTCCCCGACCCCATCATTTCACCTCATGCTTACTCCTTTTTTTCTTCGTTTATTTTTGTTCTCAAATTCTATTTATATTTATTTTGGAGTACGTGGCAGTTATGTTCAAAAGCCCCGTACTCCAAAATAAATATAAATACAATAAATCTGAAAAAATGAACCAAAAAAAAACGAAGAAGAAAATGGAGCCGTACACAACTCCTACTTCCTGCCAACTCCTACTTCCTGCCAACTCCTACTTCCTGCCAACTATTATTTTATTTCTTTTTACTTTTATTTTTTTTTAATGATCATGACAACAATTTTCAAGGTAAATAACGGTTAAAAAAAAAAAAAAAGACTTACCAAAAAAACCATATAAAAAAAAGACTTACCAAACAAATATATAGACTACAAATAAATAACGGTAGACAACTGTGCGAGCACAAGAAGACTCAGAGAAGTGATGATACCACGGAGGACTCCAGGAGCGACTCACATGGATGATGGCTCTTCTTACCTCCCACTGGCTCCCCAGCTATTAGCGGCTAGCGGCTATGGCGTCTACTCTTCTCCATCAACACAATATCGAACACCCGTTCCCTGCGCGCTTGATTCCACGTCTTCTCTTTGTTCGTCTCGACACTTACACGAAACCTGACCAGAGCGAGAAGCTTATAGAGAAGCGCCTTGAGACTGCCGACTGCAGCACCTGTGTGCCGACCGTCGGCAGAATGAAACACAGACACAGTTTTCCAAGCCATCAAACATATCAATCAATCAATCAATCAATCAAATCGAATCAACCAATAGCGCTTCACATATCACACCACTCAATCCAGTATGCATCCGCAGACAGAAAAACAGAGAGAGAGAGAGAGAGAGAGAGAGAGAGAGAGAGAGAGAGAGAGAGAGAGAGAGAGAGAGAGAGAGAGAGAGAGAGGAAGGGGGGGTTGGAGGAGGGGAAGGAATCTTCGTGCACTAGCGGTAGTGAGAATCGTATTCGCGGAAGATGGGAAGAGGAGATCCGGATGCGGAATCGGATGTGGGTCTGAAGATGGAAATGAACGACCGGTCCGGTTCCGGGCGACCTGCAAGGGTCAAAGTCAGAAGATGGAACTGAACGACCGCGTCAATGTGAATCCCAAGGATCAAAAGGTAGCATGCAGAAGAGTATAGTTTAAAAAAAAAATTAAAAAAATTAGCACGCTAAATACTGACCGCAGTTAAGAAGCGACAGACCGGCGCACGCCATCAAGTCAGTATAACTGACACAATATGTTTGAGAGAGAGAGAGAGAGAGAGAGAGAGAGAGAGAGAGAGAGCACAAAACGACAGATGACGCCGGCGTTCAATCACTGGGACGGAACAGAGCAGAAGATTCTACCAGTAGCGACTGTATCGTCCTCCTACAGGACTAAGTCTTACACCATACGTTCTCCCTGACCCGTCTTACCATCCTCAAGTCCTCAAGAGTCAAAGTCCTCAACCCCGAAAGACTTAGTGCGGAAAGATAGACAGGCGGAGCTGCGCAGCTGCGCGGCTGCGCGGGGCTTCTGAAGTGATTCAACACGCCCGCGGCTGAAGAAAGCCCAACCGTTCCAACGACAAATAGAGAAAGAGAGAGTTAATAAAGGGCCAGGAACCCCGAGAGCCTACCTCAGTGGGTACACCCATGAACTGTTGAAAAATACAGACCTGTGTTCGAATCCAGATGATGATGATGGAATTTGACGAGTAAAACCAACTACTAATGAAGTGCTTCGGGCCGGTCAGCTCAATGATAATATCTCAAGGCCGTCTCCCTTTTTAAAAAAAAAAAAAACGAAGCTTCAATAAAAAAAAAAAAAAAAAAAAAAAGGGATTCTAGTCCTCTGGATACCCCTGATCGGTATTAGCCGGGTCTAGGACCAACACGCGTGTGAGTGTGAGCGTGAGTGGGTTGTGTGTGTGTGGTGTGTGGGAGAGTGTTGGCCATAGCCTCTGCTGCTACTCGATGAAGGGTGGGGGACGATGAGAAAGGGAGGCACAGCTACTGGCAGGTCTCTGTCTTTGTTTATCCAGACCCCCACTGGCGGCCCCAACCCTATACCCTAACCATTAGGGGCAAGGGGCAACATGAAATCTCCCCTTCACAGAGAGAGGAAACTATGCTTGCAGGGGTCCCCTCTAGATAGCCTTAGGAGTAGGTAGGTAGTGAAAGGCAAAAACAGAAGTTGAGAGAAGAATATAGAAAGAAAAAAAACTTGTCCAGCGTCCCAGTATTATGTGAAGAACTTGCCTTCACTACTGTTCGGTCCAACTTCCCCTCGATACTGGTACGGGCATAGTAGGAATATGGGGTGCGCTAGGGGTATTGACTCCAGGATGGGATGGTGGATGGGAGGTAGCCTCGGCCAACATGGAGGGTTGCGGTTGGGATGGTTCTAATCTATTGCCGAGGAGTTGCGCCTGCTGAAGAACGGCCAACATGAAATCTCCCCTTCACAGTGAGAGGAAACTATACTTGCAGGGGTCCCCTCTAGATAGCCTTAGGAGTAGGTAGGTAGTGAAAGGCAAAAACAGAAGTTGAGAGAAGAACATAGAAAAAAAAAATAATAATAATAAATAAAAAATAAAGGGCCAGGATGATGTTATATTATACTGCCTGCCTGCCTGCAATCTGTGCATGGAATGCAGTGCAGCCATCCACCACGTGCGGGTACCCTTCTTCTTTTTTCCCCCTTTCAGGGTACCCATATTTTTTTTGCCCCCTTTTCAGGGTACCCATTTTTTTGTTTTTCCTCTGCATCTGAAGCCTGACGGTAACTGGATTCGAACTTGAGTCTGTATCTCAACAGTTGGGAGGTGTACAAACTGAGCTACGGTAGGCCCGAGGGTACCCATAAGGAGAAAAAGAAAGAAAAGAAAGGAAGGAAACCGAAGGAAGGAGATTGTTGAAATACCCCTAAGACTTTGGGTATATTGTAGGATACCCCTAAGACACAGGGGTACACCTGAAATGCCCCAAACTTCTGCATTTGCCCCTGTCCCACTCCTTGGCAACTTCGCCATATGCCCTCTGGCCCTGGGCTGCAGGGGCGCGTGCATTTCTTTTGCGATCTGCAGGGTCCAATGGGCTAAAATACTGGGGCATATAGACAATTTTCCCAGGGCCCGGTAGGGGTATATGCAAAAATGACACATTCAAATGGCGAATGAGTATTTGGTAAAGTTTCAATACTGTCATGGGGGCATTTCGACATACTCATGCCTTTTAGGGCTATCTGACCAAATACCCAAACTTTCAGGCGCATTTCAACAATTTCTCTTCAAAATACTGGTGACAATAATAATCGTCCTCATTGCTCAGGAATGATCACAGTCGCTGCCGGCGGGGCCAGGACCCACTAGCACAGAGGATTGGATTGAACCCCTTAATTTGGCCGCGTTTGTGAACAAGTGCAGAAAATCGAGATTGAACTCTTTTTCTGCATCTCTGCATAAAACACGTCCGGGTTCAGGATCTTTATCCAATCGTTGTTGCTAGTGGGACCATGCTCCGGGAGTCTGGGGCTGGAGTTGGAGGACTGGAATCAGGGGAATATTGTCCTGAAAATCAAACAGAAACTTTGAAGGACTATAGCCGCACTCAGTCGAAAAAGTCGGCCAGATTCGTCCGTAGGGACCCTGCGCTCTATTCCGGAAATTAAAAGAGGCCGGCTTGGCCCGGCTATAGTTTAGATAGAACGAACTGAACTGACGTTCTGCACGGGTTTTTAAAAAAAAAGACGCACCAGCTATCAGTCGGTAACTCCAATGACCCACGTTCTATTCGGGGAGAGAATGAGCCCATGCTCTACTCGGGAAGAGAGTGACCCCGTGCTCCACTATTCCGCAGGAGAATGGCCCCACACTCCGCACCTCTCTAATGATCCCACACAGTGCCAAACTCTATTAAGGAAGAGAATCACCCCATGCACGCTGAGCCTCTCCTGGGCAAGAGAACGGCCCCACTCTCAGTTCTGCAAGAGAATGAGCCCATGCTCGATTCGGGAAAGTGGTGCTTGTAGGTACTTCACAGTGTAGCACTGTAGCAGTGATTGCGAGGTGCTCTTCGCTGCGATGATGGATTGGAGGTCCTTTTTTTTCTTTTTTTTAATGGACGGATTGGATGTCCCAGGGTGTTGTAGAGGCCAAGGACCAGACCCGCGGTGATTGCTAGTAGCAGCAGGCAATGGTTGTCCTGACAGCATAGGCCACCTACCCTACCCATCCCCACGTTAATACTCCCAGCGCACCTGTGATAAGCTCATACCCGTACCGCGCGGCTTGCCGTATCCCTGAGGAAAAATCCCACGGAAGCCCCGAAGTACGGACGCGGACAACGGGGGGTTTTTCTTTCTTTTTGCTTTTGTTTTTTTTTTGAAACGGATTTTTTTTTTTTTTTTTTGGTTAATAACTCCAGCGCGGGCGAATAGCGGCCGCGGTATGAAAACCAAGAAACGGTTTCGGTTGGGACTTTTTGAATTTTTGCACGCGCGTGCCTAAGCTCCGATTTCTTCGCGCGTCTCGCACCCCCGCTTCTTGCTTTGCATCCCCGCGCCATCTTCCTTCCTTGCTGCGCGCGTTTCCCCCAAGCCGGACTCTTCGTCTTCCCCTACGCCCAACTTGATCCTTACCCCGTCTTCCTCCGCGAAGTGATTGGCTGCGTAGTTGGGATGCTCAGATCAATGTGGAGAGCGGGAAACCGTGCACCACTTGAACGAGCACCCCAATCACGTAGGACCATGCAACCCCTCGGGTCGAACCCTCTGACTCCCCACCTTCCTTTTGCGCTGCCCGCACCTCGCGCTGACAACCCGCCGCCTCCCGCGCTATAAATTTGCGCAACCCTCTCCTCTCCCTCTCTTTGATCTCGGCTGCAATGCTGCGCGAGCTATGCGTGAAAGTCCGGGGCGCCGAACAGGCTCGACGAGCCCAAGGACGGGCGGAGTGACGACGTGGGGTGAACCCGCGGTAGCCTCGGGGCGAAGCAGTCGGAGGGACTGAGCAGTGGTGGGGATTGGACGCCGATCTCGGCAGGGCCTTGTGGCTATGGTGGTCGGTGGTCTTGGGAGGTTTTTGAAGGCTGCGCCTGGGGGCGGCAGTTAATTGAGAAATTTTGTGTACAAGAAGGACTTACTTGTATCTCCATTGCTGCTTTGTCTATGCATGATGTGTGTCTGAAGCCCCAAGTGATGGGAGCTGGTTGTGCGCATGAGTGATGTCGAAGGTCTATGGATGATTGGATGTCATGTCAAGGGTTGTTGATTACATGCATGTATGTGTGTATGTACTTATCCGGGCGGGGACGGGGGAACTGAACTGGAAGACCGTCTGCTTAGGAGTATGAGCGTGTTGATCCTGTTGTTCCCCTCCCCTCCGCTGCCTTTCCTGCGCGCA